CCGAGTCGACCAGGTGTGCTTAGAATCCCGAGAGGAGGTCGGATTCATCGCCGGTGAAGAAGGAAGATCCGACCGGACCTTTGGAGGCTCCGATCTCCCTCCTCCGGCGTTGTCTCCGGTTGAAACCACCACCATTAGAGTCACCATGACCGGATCTACAAGGCTAGGTAGTCCACGCGCACGAACGATCACCGGAAGACGAACGGTCACTTGGAAGTGACTCTTGGCATTCCGGAGGCATTTTTATAATTTTACAATGTAAGTGAATTTTGGACTTGTTTGATTTATTTTATGTGTTTTGTTGCTTTTTTTTTATTTACATATGTATGTTAGAAAATTTGAAGATACATAGTTGTGAAATTTATTTTAACATGAGATTTTTTTATGATTAAAATATTGTATCAACGAGTCTCTTATTTATTAGGGACGGACGATGATTTCGATATATTTAATTTTTAAAAAAATTTTTTAGTTGATTTTAGTTAATTAAAATTTTAAAGTTTTCTTTAAAAAATAAAAAATAAAAAATATATTTTTTCGACGAAGTCTCATATCCGATAAGGATCGATGTCACCAAAAAGAATGTCTAAATTTTTTTTTTGTTTTTTTGACAAAGTCTCCTATCCGATAGGGACTAGCATCACCAAAATTCATTTGTTTAATCAAATTGTCTTCGACACACCGGTTGTATCAAGGCTTAAAGTGGATCCGATGTTTGAATCGACATGTCGCCCGACGAAGGGGACCAACGATCGTTTCAATACGATGCCACGCCCAAAACTAAAAAATTCAATTTGTCTTACAAAAATAAGAGTTTAAAAATCAGAAAATAATTTGACGTAAATAAAATTTTTAGGAGATAAATTTAGAGCTAAACCGGACATAGTACCTTTCTTCGGAAAGGGTGCTTTTGGGTGATCGATATCTTCCCAAAAGCGTAACCAACTCCTTACCATAGAATTTACGAGCCAATGTTCGTTTTAGGTTCCTAGTTCCTTCAATATTATATGGCGACTCCAAACTCGTAAATAAACATAAAAAAACCAATCTAATTTTAGATATTTTTAGGGAGTCCCGTTTGACGTCGGGTAGCAACAATCTTTGATCTCTAATCTTTGTTCTCTTTATGAGCCAAATAATGCAAATATAAGGGCAGAAATTGGTCTTAGGAAGGATGTTTCTGTATTGTGGAAGTCAGATATTTTAAATGTGCTCCTTTCGTTAAGAAATTAACAGAAAAAAATCATAAAAATTCTATTAATAACTATCTATTTCTCTATCAATTTAGGAAAACATGTTTATTAATACGAAAAAAAAAAAAAGAATCAAGATAACTTTTAAGTGTTTTTCCCACGATTTCTTAATAAAATCTTAATAAATGGACAAATTCAAAATATCATATTGTCTAAGGATCAAAATCAAGAATTTGTTTGTTTAAACAAGTATTTGTTTCGTCGTTCAAATTCAGAAATACTTTACATTAATTTAACCTAGCTATTGCATTATAAACATATAAAATTTATATGAAAAAATGTTTTATTACATTAATAAATACAATAGCACATATTTATATATTGGAAAAAAGTATATAGAGAAGGAATGCATCTGGTCTATAATATGGTCATATACAAGGAGAGGATGATGCTATTGAATATGGAGAAGGAGAGGTTGCATGATTGGTGAAGAATTCTTGTTGTGTTGACTGTTAGTTGATGGGACAAGGACAAATGTGCCTTGTCGAGTGTCTTTAATTGGCTTTTTTATTCCAAGACTATTTTCATGATATCTTGTGTGATTCTGCAAACAAGCTTATAAAATATGTTTTAGTATCTTAATTAATTATGAAAATCTATATGAACAAAATTTTGTAATTGTACGTTGTATTGTTTAATATTATGGGTATTTTATTTTTGAGTTTAAATTTATTTTAATAAATAAAAAGCAAAGATATAAGATATTATTTACATTATTTAAAAATCAAATTAAAAGAATAAATAATTAGAAGAAAGCAACAATCGGCTATGAAAAGGTACTCGAACAACCTATATTGAAAGGGTGTTTACTTTTAGTAAAAGAGTTCATTACTATTTATTAGAAAAATCTCATTATTTTTTACTTGATAATTATTTTTTTCTTATTTCTCATCAATGCAATTCCGAACATTAGTTTCCGTTACCTGAAATCTAAAATAAATTTATATAGAATAAATAACAAAAAAAATCAAGTGATGATTATTTGATGCGTCGGGGCTCCTTCAAAAGAATATATATATATATATAGGGACATCTACTTGAAAAGAATAAGGAATCACATGTTAAATACATGTTGAAAAGCAAAGATCAATTTTGAAACCGGACATAATTAGCAAAAAATAAAACAAATTTAAAGAAGATAAATTACCAACCATCAAATTTTTGTTAATCTACTATCAATGTTGAATTTATTATCTTTTTTTAATTTTTGAAAGCTATGAATTTTTATTGATTAATTAACTATCAATCATCAAACGTTTATTATTGAAAAAAAAATTAGTAATTAATCATTAATTTTTATAAGGTTGCATGAATATTCATTATTTTTATAATGATGATTATTTTCCATACTAATTTTTAAAAACAAAAAAAAATTTAAAATTTTGAAATTAATCATATTTTTTTAGTCTGTATGAAAAATAAAAAACAACTATCAATTATTGAGAAAATAATAAATTAATAAATAAAAGAAAAGAAAATGTACAAAAACAAAAACAAAAAAACAAAAGAAAACTAGGTTGGACACAGCTAGGCCCAGACGTAGAGCCTCGAGGCAACCAAGCCCGTCCGCTTGGGCTGGATGGCGCATCCCCCAAATATTAAAAACAATATGAAAAATGAAGGCAGACAACACGACGTCGTCCAAGCACCATCTTCCCTAATTTTTGGGCGACCAAAATCCAAAATTTGCTCCTTCGAATCTAGAAATGGTCGCTCGAAACTCCGAGGCAACTGTTTTGGTACTCCACATTAAATTTTTATAGTAATTTTACTCAAAAAAATCTTTGAATCATTTCAAAAATAGTTAGAAATCATTATAACTCTCAAAATACGCTCAAATCCACTCAAAAAATCCAAAAATATAGAATCAAATTTAAATCTAATTTTATTTCCGAAACTCGATCTTTTTTTTTCCAATCACTTTGAATGCTAGAACTATTTTCAAAAAAACTCTCATCATGAACATGAACCCATCGACACCTATATTGTTGAATTACATGTTAAGGTTGTAGCTCGTGAAAGATTTCTTCCCCCTCTCTCCTAACTTCTCTCTCCTCCTTCTACATTCAGGAGCTTAAATTTAACACAAATGAAGTTTATGGACCATTCCATACAACTCTCAAATTCTAAGGACTAAAGTGGAAATGAAATTCAAAAAAATCACTTAAAATATTTTTAAAAAGGCATCAATGCACTCAAAAAAAAAAACATTAAACCGATATCGTTTCGTATCACAAAATGCCAAAATAGTGGTTTAGGTACAGAAAAATCTATTTTATTTTAGATTATTTAAAATAATAACTTTGCCTATATATATTTAACGGAAACCCTTAATCATTCTTAAGCAATCTATGCCATTGTATAAGAATACAGCATAACACTAATGGTGCCCCCGAAAACAATGCTGAACTATGGGCCTTGCATTTAATTTGGGATATGGGGCATCGAGCGGTTGTTGAGGCTGATTTGCCCAAGGGATCGTTAATATGCTAAAATCATAAAATAGTAATCCTCGACATTTTTATAATTAATACTTTAAAAAATTTATTTTTAGAATATTTAAAACTGTATATTGGAAGTGTATTCTTTAATTATGTTTGGAGAAAAGTTAAGTTCGAGATGCACGAAATTTGATTCTAAAACACTGTTTAAAAAAAAAACAAAGAAAGAAGAAGTTAATATGCTAAAGAACCAAAAGTGCTTCTCCTTTGCTTATTTTGGTGACAGCATCTCTCATGGTGTTCTTTATTTTTAATTAGTATTTTTAATATAAATAAAAAGTATTATTAATTATATAGATTGAAAATCAATATTCTCTTTAATGTTACTTTCTACTTTAATTCTTTATTTTGACAAAATCTATAAAATCTAGAGATATTATTGATAAAGAGGGTGAATGTTATAGGAAGTAAAAATTTTCATTAATGAAATATAAAATAAAGAGTCATTTAAATTCTCTAGTATTAGAGAGCTAAAGACACTTCGGTATCTCAATTTTAAAAATAAAAATTATGATAAAAAAAATATTAGAGATAGAATTTAGACCAAATCTTTTTATTATAAAAAAAATTTTTAATATAAAAAAAACATTGGAGAAGTTCATCGGCAGTGGAATACGCGATTTCATCATGTTCATCGGGCGGGAAATAAATATGCAGACTATGGGAATATTTTGCTTTTCATCATGATCGTCCTCAAGTGTGGTTTACTCCTCCTTTGGAGATATGAGAATTCCTTCTTTATGACCTGGACAGGGGCATTACGCCTGGGCTTTGTCTAGATTAGTTTCTTTGTTTATAATAATAACAATAGTAATAATAATCGTTTTATAAAAATAATTGAATTACTAAAATAACCTTCGACAGAATACAAGAAATTTAGGCCATAATCTTCGTACTCTTGCAACTAGGTTTCAAATGGTTTGAATCTCATGAGATATTAAGATTTGAGATTTTTATTAAAAAAATTAATATGTTAAATATTCGGAGGATCGAAGTGACGGTGGTTTTGGAATTGAAGAAGAAATATGTATCCTTCATTATGTAACTCAAATTCAATCTTTTGTTGAACTAAAATGGTTTTAGGAATTTTATTGTCAAACATAATTCTCTTATCATTACAAGTTCTTATTCGAAGGGGGGGGGGAGATCAAAATCGCAATACATAAAAAACTCAACCCCTTGTTTCCTAAGATTCTCTGTTAAAATCGCTCATTAAGACACAAAATTTCTTAGACCAATGTCCTTTTCACTCCTTCAAAAGCGGCTCCTTAATTTGATCCCAAGTATCCATACGGCTCTGAGCTTTCTCCACCTGAAAAGTCCAAAATTTGCAACTTGTGATATCACAATTATATAATATTTTAAGGTTGTCTATCTACTGGTCAAAACTAAAACTTGTAGACATAACATTGATACGATAAGTCTGCGCAACCCAATGATTGAGTTTAGAGTTTTAAGATCTTCAGCTCGAGAAGGATGAAGTGAGGATTTAATGATGGAGCAACTCCTTAAATCATTTGAGTGTATTTAAAAAATAAATTTTCTTGAATACTAATTTGTATGTAGCTCGGAATCACGAAATCAAATAAATAAAAAAATTTTCATATCTGTTTTTGAAATTATCTACACATATGATAATAAATTGAATATAAAACAGATATCTATTTTATTTAAAATATTTATCTATTAAAATGTCTAATAGACATTGAAACATAAGGATAGAAAAAAATATATACATGCTAATATGACTTTTAGATTTAATTATCCACTTTATACCACTATTTTATTCTTATTTTTATTTTTTAAAAAAATTAACATACAAGGATTTTATTCCATAAATTTTATAAATCTAGGATCAAAATGTTTTTATAAAAATTTTGAGGACCAAAAAATTTATAAATAAAAGGTCAAATTGTAAAAAATAATTTTTAGGAACCAATATAATTTTTAAAAATTTCAGTGACTAAAATAAAAAATTTTTACAAATTTTTTTAATTGATATTAAATAGATGTTAAATGAACTGATCAATCAAATATAAACACATTTGAGTTTATATGATAATATATATATATATATATATATATATATATATAGAGAGAGAGAGAGAGAGAGAGAGAGAGAGAGAGAGAGAGAGAGAGAGAGAGAGAGAGAGAGGAGAGAAGATTGAATCAATACGGCAGGTACCATCTCTGCATATGTATGGATCTACATGCATTGATGCAAAAATTAAAAATTAAAAAAATTACATATTAAATTTACCTCTTTTTCCCAATTTGTGCAAATAGTTGCCCACAATAAGACTATAGTTTGCACAATGGTGCCTCCTAACATTCCAGTCCATATTCCCTATAAAAAAAAATAGAGACATTTTAGTCTTTTTGTTCACAAAAGCAAATTGAAAATATCAACATTGATCAGTTAACAATTCATCATAAAGGAGAAGAATAAAACAGGAGCATAATAATAAAAAAAGAATTTGTCAATGGAGGGTATTATTTGATGCATTAGGGTACGTCCAAAAATATGCACATACCTTTGTTCCCATATCGCATGTAAAAGCAAGAACGCAACCCAATGGAATCCCAATGACGTAGTAACATGCAAGATTGACATAAGCGACAAATGCTTGCCATCCACATCCAACAGCAACACCTTCAAAAGGTAAAATCCAAAGAAATAAGCAGTCAAAAAGTTGGCGTACTGAAAGTGTCGTCTAACCTCTAGTCTCTATGATCTTCGAAGGTTGATAGTTAATTGAGTCATAAAAGCGAGGGATGGGACTCAAATTTGGCCCTGACCCTTTCCCAAAATGCAATGAAAGACTGCAAAGAAAGGTCCACAGGACAAGAACCTCTACAAGTATAAGCAAACAGAGGTCTACAAGACAAGAAACCTCTACAAGTACAAGCAAAGAGAGGTCTGCAAGACAAGAAACTCTACAAGTACTACCCCCAAGTAGATAATTGGAGAGACAAGGTGGTGATGTTTCAACAGTTACTCGCGTCAGAAATGTGAAATACTATGAACTTTTTGATAATTAGAAAAAGTCTCATTTTGTTTTTCTGCAATTAAGTCTTTTAGTCTCGTTCACCGATTTCAAGTCATATTAAATATATTTAAAAAAACACATAAAGTTATAAAACAATAATTCGTATAATATATTTAGAGTTTTTAGGATATTTATTATCGTTTTAAAGGGTTTACGTCATGTCTCATATGTCATTTAAAATTGATCAATGAAAAAAATTAATTGTAGATTCAATAATTCAGAATAGTTTATAACCAATTAACTGAAATATAAATACCAAGAAACTTACCAGATAAAACAGGTTGGACTCCACTTAACACGATGGAGGCTGCCAAGAAAGGAGATAGATCTGCAACAGCATGTTCAACTACTGTACCACTTGTGAAGGCATAACTTATTTTATGCCGCAACAAGAGCACAACAACAGCCAAGACCACTGCGATGACGAGTGAGCTTAAATTTACTATTATAACAGAAAATGATGTTGCTTTGGGATGTCCAGCACCTAACTCATTGCTTACTCTCACACTGTGATTAACAAAAAAAAAAAAAAAAAGGAAATTAAAGGTCATTAGTTATGTTAATATTTATCATTAATTTGCCTATTAAACACTCTTAAAAACAATATTTTTCTACCAATTAATATTAAAAAATAATATAAATCATATCTTTTTATTTTATTTAACAGTTTAACTTTTTGAATGAAATGGTTTTCGACATAATATCAAAAGGATTCCATCATATATACTTGAAGGCTTATAAATGCTCTGATTTGTTAGCTAATTATGTAAATTCCGATATGTTAGCTAATTATGCAAATTGTTTATCATTTGGTATCTAATATCTTAATAAATCTCCTTTAAGTTGTTTGGAAATTTTATTAAAAAACATTAGCGGGATAGCTTTTTTTAGAATGACCCATCTAGAACTATTTTAGGTTTGTGCCCTCCTTTTGATTAAAAAAATAATAAAAAAAATCAAACAACATTTATCTACCAACTATCACGTGATTCTAAATTGGGTGCAAAAAAGAACATTTTTCCAATTTTTTCCCTCATCTATCAAACCTTACTTATTTTAATCTTAAATGGAGGACCTAATTGAGAATTGCACGATATTTGCAGGATAAATACGTCCTTCGGTTTTAAGAATAATTGTTAACTTAATCGCAGCAAATTTCAAAGAACATTGTGAATTATATAGGAAACGACTAACCTTGCAGCTGCCTGAAAACCGACCGAGATCATAAAACACCAACCTTGTATAGTCATGCTGCATTCATACAGACTCAATCTGAATCACAAACAAATGGCAAAGTGGCTACTACTTAATTAAATATAAGCAATTAATGACAGAGCTTTGCTCACCAGATGGACAGAGCATCCAAGGAAATTTCAGCATTTTTAAGCAAACCTGCGATCAATGTTAGTATCTGGAAGTACCAAAACTCAAGACATAGCATAACACCTGATGCAAGGGACAACTTGAAGAACTCCCATAACCCAGAGAAGGCCTGTATACTAAATCCTCTCCATGTGTACTTGAACCTCTTACTTAGTAAAATGTACACAAACTGGGCCACCACAATAACCCACCATGAAAAACTGGTTACCAATGCTGCACCCAACAACCCCCTCCAAGCTTGAAAAGTACGACCCAACATAGGATTAGATGCAGCACAAGAGCACCGGCTGATATGCAGGTACTAGGGAAAATCACACTTTGAGCTTGTAAGAACTTTTGTATTGGGAAATTGCATGCATAGGCAAAGATTTGTGGAATTAAACCATAGACAAATAGTGCAGCTGCAGATGCAATTGCAGGTGATTCGTGTAGTCCAATTAAGATAGGCTTGCTGAAGATGTAGATGAACATAAGCACAAACCCAGTTAAAGTGAGGAGAATTGTCGATCTCTGCATATATATGCCTAGCATGTCATACTTGTGCGCTCCATAGGCTTGCCCACATAGCGTCTCCACTGCACTTCCCATTCCCAACTGCAAGCAAAATATTTATTTCATAAAAAAAGAGCATGTAATCCACTTACTATTTCTTTTAACTAAATAGAAGCTTTAATCTTTGAGACTATACCATAACGCCAAAGATGAAGCCTTGGACACCAGTATTTCCAAGAGAGGCAGCAGCAAGTTCAAGATTGCCAAGATGACCGCAGAAAATTTGGGTGGATATGGAAACAAAAAAATTGAGCAAGTAAACCACAATTGCTGGTGCTGCTAGACGAGAAAGGATTTTGAGCTCAATCGAGGTGGCCCTTACGATTCTTTGATAGCGGGATAATTCCACGTCAGATAACAGTTCTTCAAGTTCAGAACTCACTGGCTCCGCCGAGAATGATCTTTTGTCTTGCAATATTGGCTGGTAAGACTCATCTTCAGCATACTCTATTCTGTTGCCTTCACTAAAGGTGGTCATAATCTTTGATATTTGGTAATCAATGCAGATAGAGAAGGCCAAAGAATATTTGTCTTATGAGGGGTATTTTCAGACGAAGGAAGCAAAAAATATAAGCTAATTTCCAAAGAATGGGTACGTGTTGAGTGGAAGGGATTGTTTTTATAGTTAGTAAAGAGAGAAACGGTGAGTGAATCACCTAACTTTCCTTGGTTTAGACTCATTGTCTTGTTTGTTTCTTTGGTAGTTGAAGACCTTTTGTTGAGGGGATTTACTCATAGAAGTATCGAAGAATAAATAAGATAATCAAATCAACGACAAATCAATGTTATGATCATATATAAGCTCAAGGCACAATCATCTCGAAGTAGAGATCAATAATGGTGCTTAAAGTGGTATCATCCTCTTTATTCCAACTTTTTCGTGTGTGAGAGAACAACATGAAAAGCAAAGCCAACATGAGTTGTTGGAGAGTAAATTATAAATTAGTCCTTTTTTTCAAAATAAATTAAATATTCTCTTTAGTTTTAAAAACTAATTAATTAAATTTTATGTTTTTAACTTTATTTGTAATTTAATCTTTTTTTGTTGTCTCAATTGATTTTTATTTTTTGTTTTAAAAAATAGAAAAAAATAAGTAAAAAAATTATGAAGATTGATGGAAGAGAAGACACTTTTTGAAAAAAAAAACAAATTACATTAACCATGGTCAATATTGGTTGAGAAACTAATTAATTAATTTTTAAACTAAGAGAAACTATTTAATTTATTTTACAAAACTAAAAAAAAAACTAATTTATAATTTACTATGGCTCAAAGATAAAGGATTTTTTTTTTTTTTTTTAATGAAAATGAAGTAGGTTCTGTTTGGGCATTGGCTTTTGCACAACAAATGTATTGTAGTCTAGGTAACATAATTAATTAATTACCGAGTTGTTGCTAATATTATACTTTTATTTTGAATTTATAAAATCTTGATCCAATCTGATTTTTTATTCATTTCGAGCTTGTTATTTGTAAAACACTAAGATTTTGTTTAATACCAATCAAGTTGTGTCTAGATTAATCCCCTCCCTTTTTTCCACTTTATCATACTCCTTACCTAACTTAAATTAGTTTTGACCTTCAATATAAATTTGTATCCCACTTATTTGATTTTGTTCTTTTTAATTGTGAGAAATTTTAATTATTTTTTAAATTGACATATTGTATAGTATCATAATATGTATTTTTCATACATGTAATAGTTGAAACTCATTTTATATTGAATCATGATTTTAAATGTAACGAATATTTTTTCTTTGAAAAAAATTAAATAATAAAACCGATAAAGACAATATATATATATAATTCCAACTCATTAAGATTCCAATTCAGATTGAAATTTATAAAATCCAAATTTGAATTTATAAGATCTAATTCGATGTGTTTATTAAACAAATTAGATCTAAACCTATATATATATAATTCCAACTCATTAAGATTCCAATTCAGATTGAAATTTATAAAATCCAAATTTGAATTTATAAGATCTAATTCAATATGTTTATTAAACAAATTAGATCTAAACCTATTATAATTTGGTTCGAATTCGATCCATAAACAATTCCAATTTTAAAGTATAAATTTTTATATATAAAGGGCCAAGAATTTGGGATTTTTATTTTTATTTATTTTATTTTTGTTATTATTATTATTTTATTTTATTTTATTTTTTTGCCTTGTTGGGATCCGAAGGAGGTAACCGTTAAGGCATCCCTATGCACCACTACCCACGCCAATGATGGTACTTAATGATAATTGCCAGAGATGACTCAATCATAATATTAAATAAAAATATATGATTACATTACCCGAGAGTTGACTTGCTGATAAAATTTTAAAAAATACTTTATTTTATCCATTAAGTCTTAAATTTAATTTTTCTAATATCTTTTTAGGTAGTATATATTGATGGAGAGTGGAAAGGATGCGAGGGCCATGCACTTCAAGTTTTAAATTTACGGAAAGTTACCAAAAAATAGTTAAGATTCAAATTGGTACCTTCATTAACAAAATTATTTAATGATTAATTACTTACTAATCGTGGAATTTTTTTTTAACCTATTTCCACTAAAATTAAAACAAACAAACAAAACTACGTAATCCATTTCTATTTTTATTTATTTAGGGAAGGGACAAAGTAAAAAAGCCTTTTGCACCTTTGAATCACAGCAAGTAATTGTTGACTTCTACATATGCATGAGGAATTCTATGTTAGTTATAATAAGAAGTTGAATTTCGTCTCTATTTTTTTATTCAATTTTGCCTTTATTAGCTTTCAATTTAAAATTAATTTAATACAATTATGCTGCTTAACTAGATTTATCCATCCTTTTTTTTTTACAATTTATGTATTTTATTATTTTTTATGTTTTATTTTATTTGTGATTTGATTTTCCCTTTTTAATTTTTTATATTTTTTTTAATAATGAATACTAAAATAAAATGAAGGAATAAAGGACAAACTAAAATAACAACTAAAAATAAAAATTAATTAAACTAAACAATTAAATTAAATTTTGAAAAAATGTAACTCAAGATTTGGGATATGACAAAGAAGAACAGTCTAAGAAATCATTATAGGAATGGAGACAGAAAGATTCTCGAAATGATCACAGAAAGCCAAAAGCCTATCCCCCAATTTTTTATTTATCTGAAATAATTGTTTTTACCTACTGAAAATCTTTCCCTCTATGATAGTTTTATTACGAGCCAACTAAATAATCCAACAAGTGAAGATAAACTGATGACTAGTTTCTCTTGTACATATAAGTACTGTTCAACTGGCTAGTAAATTTCATAGAAAAAATCATACTACAAGACACGTTTTATCAAATATCTGTAAAACGGAAAGTATCTGGTGACACTAACCATACGTAACATTTTCAGCAAAACCATATCAGCATATCGTACACGAAAAAACAATTATAATCATTATGGGGCCTAACTTTGTGCTTGGATTTTATTCGTCTGTGTTTTTTTGACTTCTGCCCTATTGCAATCAAACTAATCCGAAAGTGTAATTGCGAAAGCAACCTTTTTCTGTTTTTTAAATCTTCACGGTATGGATTCTTTCCATACCTGGAAAAATCTTGACAAACAAAATCTCCCTTCTAGATTTGTCAATAAAGCCTAACAACCTGTACTTTGTCCTCGTCCAGGAGCTATTTTGTACCACCAATGGGATGTCACCTTCACTAGGGAGACCCAATGAACTGGAACGAATCTTATCTTGGTGGATATATGCTATAAAATCATTTCATTAATGATCTTAAAATAACCTAAGAAAATATAAATGAAGAAAAAATAAAGTGGAAAAAGAGGGAAAAGAAAGAAAAAAAAACCCTAACTGTGAAACGTCTTTCTTTTTAATGTACTTGCCGAGATATATGTATATATAAAAAAAATTGAGAAATCTTTTATATCTGCCCCCAAGAGAACAGAGAAAAAAAATTATTTTGTATATTGACCCAAAATAAGGGGGGAAAAAAAGGGTTTTAGTGTACAAAAATATTAGAAACAATAATCATAAAAAATTCTAATCTTTAAAGTGATAATACCGTACAGTATTGAATTTAGAGATTTTAGATTTTTATCATAATACAAATTTAAGTAAAGAGATAACATGTATTATTATTGATATTTTTTATCTCAAGTTTACATAGAAACTTAAAATAATTATATTTTTTTTATATAGTGGATTATTCTAAAATTTGTCATGTTGTTTTTTCGATCTATAGATAATAAGGATTTTCACATAAATTATTATTATTATTTTTTTTGTGATTTTATTCTTGTAATTGATTTATTTTATATCCTTAATTGTTGTATAAGTTTAGTTTAATTATTTTCTCATGAAATTTACTTTATACACAATAAAGTAGTTAGATTTCCAATATATTCTAGCATAAAGAAAACTATCATATACATACATATATACCCAATTATTGGATTATGTTAATTTTGTGACAACAACTTAAATAATAAAACGTGGAGAAAACTTCCAACTATATCAAACACTCCAAGAAAAGGAAAAACTCGTATTTGAATCTCTTAAAACTTGGAACCAATCACAGAATTAGTTTAGTCAACAAGCTTCATGCTCTTGTAACTACGAAATTATAAAAGGTTTGAATCTCTACTTACTGGGCGAATCCATCATAGAAGTTTGAAATTCCTATTACAAAGTTTGACAGTTAAATATCGAAAAAATTGAAGTCATAATGATTTACGGATTGAAGAATGGAAATCCTAAAATAACCCTAACATTTTCCAACCTCTGATTACTCATTCAAAGAGAAAAGGATATCAAAACTACAAGACATAAACTTGGAAGCCTCTTGCTTCTTGAGAGTATTTATTTACAGTGGTTCGTGAATGGCAAACAAAATTTCCACTAAACATATACCAATTAATGTCCCTTTTACTCCTTTAAAAATGGCTCTTTAATGTCATTCCAAGTATCCAAACAACTCTGAGCTTTCTCCACCTGAAAAATCCAAATTTCACAACTTATGATCTTATAATTATAAAAAAAAGTTTAAGAGTGTCTGTCCATTGTAAAAACCAAATGTTTTAGACATAAACAACTGATGCAAAATATATGAATTACATATTAAATTTACCTCTTTTTCCTAGTTCGTCCGCATAATAAAATTAATGTCTGCACAACTGTGCCTCCTAACATCCCACTCCATATTCCCTACAAAAAAAAAAAAAAAAAAACAGAGACATATTTAGTTTCATTACTCTTTTTTCACAAAAGCAAATTGAAAATATCCACATCCACAATTCGTCAACGACAGACAGATTAAATTATAATGAGTCTTTTTTATTTTGATGAACAAATTAATTATTTATTTTTTTTTTTGTTTTAAAAAATAATCATTTAGTTCCTTATGTTTTAATTATGTTAATCACTTAGTTTTTTTTTTTTTTTATCCGATTTCCATTAGAGTGATAATGAGCTATTCTTGCTGAAATATATTTTTTTTCCTAAAATTGTCCTTTCTTTTATGTATTATTTTTTTTCCATTCACACACATTCCTCCCTTTCTGTCCCCTCAAGTACCAAAACAAATTTACATTTTTCTTCTCAATTTTTTTCCTCAAGTATCTATTTCTTATTTTATAATCTTCAATCTCTTTTTCTTTCCTCATGCACCAAAGTTTGTTTCTATGAATAAGTATATACATTAGAAAATATTTTAAGTATTAGATATTAATTTAATAGATTTGATAAAAACTTAACGATAGAAGATCAAATTATTACTTTTTTAAAACAAGAATAATTAATTAATTTGTTTATCAAAGGTGACTTATTTAAAGTTTAATCTAAATGGACAATAAAAAACAAGATCAAATAATAAATTTTTTTTCCAAAATCAAGGATATAAAGAATTATTTACCTTTGCACCCATGTCGAATGTAAAACCAAGAACACAACCCAATGGGATGCCAATAAAGTAGTAACATGCGATATTGACATAAGCAACAAATGCTTGCCATCCACATCCAACAGCCACTCCTTCAAAAGGTAAACTCAAAAGAATTTTAAACAGTCAAAAATCTACTAAAAAAACAGTTGTAGAACCGCTAGTTTCTATGATTTTCAAAGAATAGTTAGTTGAGTTTATATCCAACTGATGGACGTGGCTCCAATTTGGCCTTATACCCTTAACACAAAAGGCACTAAAAGACAGCAAAGATAGATCCCCAAGACAAGAGAGCAAGCCACCATATTTTGCCAACTTTAAGGATGGGAAATCCAAGGTGGGTCAGCCATGAAACATTGTTTATTGCCGGGAAACCTACCAGATAAAACAGGTTGGACTCCACCTAGTACGATCGAGCCTGCCAAGAAAGGAGATAGGTCTGCAACAGCATCGGCAACTAACGTACCACTGGTGAAGGCATAACTCACGACATGCCGCAACAAGAGCACAACAATAGCCAAAGCCACAGAGATGACGAGTGAGCTTAAATTTACTAGTACGACAGCAAATGATGTTGCTTTGGCATGTCCAGCACCTAACTCATTGCTTACTCTAACGCTGTAATTCAAATTTGAAAAAAAAAAAAAAAATTGCAAGTCATTATTGTGTTGGTTAACAAGTTGTCTAGAGGACACTATAAACTAGTCCCTCTGTTTTCGAGAAACAAGTTAATTAACTTCTTTTATTTTAAAAAATAATTATTTAACCAATTAATCAGTGTTATCATAATTAATTTAATATTATTTTATTTTATAAAATAATTATTTAGTCATTTAATAAATGATATCATATTTAATTCAATATTATTTTATTTCGTAAAACATTATTTTTTATCAATTCTTTCCTTTTTTTCTTATTTTTTATTTTTTAAAACAATAAATTGAAAAAGAGAGAAAAATAAAAATATTAAGTTACAAGAAAATTTAAAAATATAAAAACTAAATAATTAATTTTTAAAATAAGAGAGACTAATTGATTCATTTTCAAAAAATAAAAGGAACAATTTATAATTTATTCAATTGTCTATACAAGATTGGTCCTCTAACAGAGAACATTCCAGGTTGGATCTTTCATCTACAGACCGTACCTAAATATATAACCCCAATCATTAAAATTAGTAAACTATCAATTAGTGCTTTTAGTTTTGAAAAATGATTTAGTTAATTCTTTTTGTTTTAAAAACTAATTAATTAGTATTCTAATCAGAGTTAATTGTACTTAATTTAACATTATTTTATTTTAAAAAAATTAATTTTCTCATCAAATTTTTTTTTAATATGTTAAAATAAAAAATCAAAATAAATTAGAAAAGAACAAAATGACTAAGTTATAAAAAAATTAAAAATATAAAGATTAAATAATTAATTTTTAAAATAAAAAAATTATTATTTTTCAAAACTAGAGAGACTAATTTATAATTTACTCCCATAAAAATTGACTAAAAAAAAAATTCTTGCTTCTTAAGACTAAGGACAATTGGATAATGTTAAATAAATGAGAAACCAAATGGAAATTTGTTTTATTGGGAAACCCTTTGACTCCCAAGCTGGCAGGTGGATTATAAATGTCTCTTGCTCTTCAAAAACAACAATAATTGGTAATTTAATTGTCACAAATTTCAAATTACAAAGCGAGTAAATTATAAATTAATTTTTTATTTAAAAAAATTAAATAATTTTTTTAAAAAAACTAATTATTTAATTCATCAATCAATATTGACCAAACTTAATTCAACATTATTTTTTTTTAAAAAAAAATCATCTTTTCTAATCAATCCTTTTATATTTTTACTTTTTTTATTTTTAAAAATAAATGCATAAATAAATTTAAGAAAGAACGAAAGTAGCTAAGTACTAAAAAAATTTTAAATATAAAGATTAAATTATTGGTTTTGGAAACAAAAAGATTAATTAATTTACTCATAAAGATAGCCTCAAATTTACAAGAAAACGAACCTTGCAGCTGCTTGAAAACCGACAGAGATCATAAAGCATCAACCATTTATCGTCATGCTGCATCCAAATAAGTCAAAAAATTATGCAGAAGAAGTTACTCTGAAAAAACATCCGATCGATCATCCGTTAGGGGTTCGTAGTGTGCAAAAATTAACTGAAGAGCTTTGCTTCCCAGATGGACAGAGCGTCCAAAGAAATTTCAGCATCTTTAAGCAACCCTGCGATCAATGTTAGTATCTGGTAGTACCAAGTCTCAAGGCAAAGCATAACAGCAGAAGCAACGGACAACTTGAAGAAACTCCATACCCAGAGAAGGCCTGTAGACTAAATCCCCTCCATGTGTACTTGAACTTCTTACTTGCTAGAATGTACACAAGTTGGGCCATCACCATAATCCACCATGAAAGACTTGTAACCAATGATGCACCCAACAAGCCCCCTTTAAGCTTGAAAATGACAACCCAACTTAGTACTATATGCAGCACAAGAGTACCAGCTGAGATGTATGCACTAGGGAAATTACACTTTGAGATTGTAAGAAGAAATTACACTTTGAGATTGTAAGAACTTTTGTATTGGGAAATTGCATGCATAAGCAAAGATTTGTGGAATTAGACAATAGACGAAAATTGCCGCGGCGGATGCAATGGCAGGGGATTCATGTAGTCCCAGTAAGATTGGCTTGCAGAAAATGTAGATAAACATCAGCACAAGCCCAGTTAAAGTGAGGAGAATTGTGGACCTTTGCATATATATGCCTAGCCTGTCATATCTGTGTGCTCCATAGGCTTGCCCACATGGCGTCTCCACTGCACTTCCCATTCCCAACTGCATTTATACATTGCTTACATACTTATTTCATAAGAAAATAATGTAATGTTTTATCTTTACAAAAGAAAGAATTGGCTACCATTTCTTTAAATCGAATTTGGAGCGTAAGTTTTGAGACCATACCATAACGCCAAAGACAAAAACCTGGACACCAGTATTGCCAAGGGAGGCGGCAGCAAGTTCAAGATTGCCAAGATGACCACAAAAAATTTGGGTGGCTATTGAAACAAGAAAATTGAGCAAGTAAACCACAATGGCTGGCCCTGCTAAACGAAAGAGGATTCTCAGCTCAAGAATTGTGGCTCTTAGGATTCGCGTAGGGTGGGATAATTCCATGTTCGATAATATCTCTTCGAGTTCAGTACTCACTGGCTCCCCGGAGAATGAACGTTTGTCATTTAATATTGGCTGATAAGACTCATCTTGATCATCAGCATACTCTACTCTGCAGTCATCGGAGGGAGCCATGATGTTTGAGCTAATCAATGCAGGTGTAAGCCCAACAATTTGGTCTCTGAAAAGGATGTTTCTAAAAGTTGGAAGCCGTACTAAGTAGAGGTGAGGTTTACAAAGATATGTTAATGTCCTAGTTCATATGCCATGTATTGGGTTTAATACTAAGTGGAGTTGATGGGACAGATCTAGGTAAAGAATTAATTAATTAATTTTTAAAATTAAAAAGATTATTTAATTCATTTTGCAAATTTAGAGGGAGTAATTTATAATTTACTCTTAACTATTGTCGATTTATTTATTTATTGGAGACCTGGCCTTTGATGATTGGGCTTTGATTATACTAAATGATATGAAGGCAAACATGTCAATTAAAAATTATATGAATTGGTTTTGAGTTCTTCCATTAACATATATATGAAAACAAACAAATTAAAAGAATCCAATTCTATGATCAGTTTATTAATTATACTGGGAAAAAAAAAAGCCTTTTGCACCCTTGAATTAGACAAAAGAATTTCTTTTAAAAGATAACAAAGGAATCAAAATATTTTTTGTCTTATATTGGAAACAGTTTAAGGAATCTTACCACTAGAATAGTTATAATAATTGAATATTTATATGAAGGTACCTGAAAAGTTATAATCATTGAACATTTTATATGATGCTACCAGAATAGCTATAACCATTGTGGGGATAGCTAGTAACGAGTAAGAAGGACAAAAGGTTTGGTAATAATTTAATCATAGATTGGATCTAGAATTAAGAATTAAGCTCTCCATTGTACGTTATTGAAGTAAATGCATAAAAACCCATGTAAATGAAGAGATTTAAAACAACATTCTCATCGTATTTGATGCCAATCAGAGCCTTCGTTGCAAAACTGCATCTATGACCTCCAACATCTTTATTTTTTTCCAATTCAAATAAAAATCATAACTCACCTAACACTACCTCCTCTCAACCAATCATATAGCTACTCAATGCTCGTCACTTCATGTCACTCAAAATAACCACAATAAAATATCTCTTCTAACGTAGTCAAATGAAACCCTTTTTAATGGAGCAAGGCGTGTTCGGATTTATTGATGGCAGCAACTAATCCCACCTTTTCACGTTCTCTCTTTTGATGCTAGTCTTCCCCAACCAAACCCACAGTGTCATTGTTGGCTCCAACAAGATTAGTTGTTAATGAGTACAGTCATTGCTTCTTTATCAACAAAAGTTTTGACATGTTAAAGAACCAAACTTACATTAAATGGTTAAACTAAGCATGGTTAATATATAAAATTGAGAAAGAGTCATTCATCATAAGATTTAAGTTTTTTAGATAAAACTCAATCTCAACTATATAAGCTTTATATAGTATCGAGCCTCAAAGAGGCCTAATTGCTTAACAAAAATTTTAAAGTCTAAGCCACTTTACAAATTTGAAAAAATAGATTATAAGTGAGAGAGAGTATTAAATAATATATTCCACGTTGAATAGTTAAACAAAAAATGATTAATATATAAAATTGAGATTGAGCCACCCACTATAAGGCCTAAGTCTTTTGAATGAAACTTAATCTCAACTATCTAATTCTATAGCTACTAGTGATTGATTGCAATACCTCACAATAGGTATGGATAGTGTTAGACCATGTTCTTACTTCTACCTCTAGCACAAGAATTATGATCTAGCATTCAGCTCTTCAACAAGACAATACCGAAAGCGTAACTTATACTTTCAAAAAGAAAAGTTCTACAATGATGAACTCACTACCACAAGAAAACCATTGTCCATTATTGATTTTATTTCTATATCTATAGAGGATTGTTTGGAGATGACAAGGATTTAATCACCATTTTAAATGTTAGACTCGATCTCGGTAAGTTCTAATAAACTTCATGATAGTTTACTACTCGATCATGAGTTTTTGAACAAAGACTCTCTCTAAAGTGTCTCCCACTACCATTCCCATTCCACAACCCACGGCTCATCTTAGCTAGAAAATAGGAAACAGTATTGGTTATGATCGTAATGCCATTTTTGGTGCATTTTCTAGCAATGGAAAAGGTAGAACTAACCGAAAACGCTAGCATGGTAAGAATTTTGGTTGAAACTCTAACAATGAGGGATGAATAAAATTGGAACTAGCGAGTAGTGTTAGAATAAATAAGACATTGATTCTAGGTTGCACTCGCCTATTATGTAACTTGTAGAATCATAATGCACTTTATTATTTTGAATGATTTGTTCAGTCCACCAATCTAACAACCCATATGGTCTTGCATAAATTAATTTTTTTTTGGCTTATCGACCACATTCTTAGTGTCCTAACATAAGTGCCTCACATCATGTTACTCCTTACATCTCTAGTCTCGATCACTATGAACATTATAATGTTTGGATCAACTAAAAGTTGGCAATGATGAGTCTTTTCCCATCTAATAGGTACATTAGTATTGTTCACATTCATACACTTTTTGTTATTTTAAATATGTTAGATATGTTGCATGTTCCTCAAATTACTAAACATTTATTGTTTATTAAAAGCCAAGCTAAAGATAATAATTTGTTTGGGGGATTTCACCCCTTATCTTTTTGTTTAAAGGACCGGGTTTAATATAAACACCTTCTTTTCAAGTTGAGTAAGGATGGTCTATATGTTTTCTCATAGTTACGTTGATGTGATCATCCATTTCATATGTTTTCTCGCTTCAAGCATCATTTAAAGTCCGACATTCAAGGTTGGGTCATTCGTATAATCGTGTCATGCAACTTATTTTTCAAAATAGTAATTTATAAAGAACCAAGCAGTTGTCCTTAATAATCCACGTGTTTCTTTTTTGTTAGGAAAATTCTATCAATTATCTTTGAATTCTACAAATCATTCTAGTATGTGTGTTGTAATTAGTTTTCGAGTGAGATATGAGGACCATCATATATCCCATCTCCTAATGGACATAAATACTATATTATTTTTATTAATTATCATTCTAAATTTATTTATTTTTACCCTATTTGCAAAAGGTTTGATATCTTCGATATATTTACTTAATTTCAAAATTCAATGAAAAGTCAATTTGCTTGTAAAATAAAAAGTGTTCAAACAGATTGGAGAAGTGAATTTTGAACTTTAGAACTTTAAACAATTTTTTTTTAAACTATTGGAATTACTCATCATATCATGTGTTCTTATACGCATGAGAAAAATAGAATGGTAGAAGGATGAAATTATTGTATTGTTGAAATTGATTTAACACTTTTAAGGAAGGCAAATGTGCCGACTAAGTTTTAGAATTTGGCTTTTACATTGATATGAAGTTTTATTTCACCTAAAACTAGATTATACATTTTTAAAAGTTTTGGGTTGTGTAAATTTTCCACACCTTTAGCCATATAACAAACACAAAATTGAATTTTATTTGGTTCTTTATGTTTTTCTTAGCTAAAGTCCAATTCACTTTGGGTATAAGTGTTTTGATGTTCATTCCAATTGAATTTATATAGCTCGACATGTCAAATTCATTGAGTCTAGATTTCCATTCAAACCATCCATGTCTTCCACTATGTGTCCACATAAGTTAGACAATGCCTAAGCACCATAGGGGTGTTTACTAGTGTTGGTTCCATCTACTACTTGTCATAAAAAATAAGTGCATTATGTAACATAAACATACCATAATGTTGGCCATAACTTTCACTAAACTAGCCCATAGCAATCGTTGTATTTACATTCTCCAAAACCACAGCGAGTCCAAATTCTCATCTTTAACCAAGCCTAACTCACCCCGTACTATGCAATCAAACTCCATTAGCAATTCCTTCTCAAACAACAAGTGCATACTACCAACAATTAGTTCATCTACTCCTACCCAAACACGTTCCATCGGTTCAACACTAAGTCATCCACCGGACTCCACTCGTCAAACAACTACCATCAAATATAAGGGATGTTTAGATGAAAAAAACTCTACATGTGGTTTTATTATTTATTTGGGTAATAACTTAATTTCTTAGAAGTCATCAAAATAAAAAACAGTCTCTTCAAAGCTTTATTTAGGCATGATATAAAGCTGTACCAAATGCAAGTGGCGGACCTTATATGGTTTAGGTCCTTATTAATCGAATTAGGTGTTTTTATCACCACATCACCTATCCTTTGGTATGACAACCTTAGAGCAACACATCTTGCAATCAATCCTCTATTTCATGCACAAAGGAAGTATATAAAGATTAATTATCACTTTGTCAGGGACATGATAGCCAAAAGTAAAATTTAAGTTTGGTTTATCTCAAGTCGAGATTAGGTAGCAGTGACATCTTAACTAAATTGTTGTTTACAATGAGGTTTCAACTTTTACAAAGCAAACTCATAGTGTAACCATTTTGGACACTCGTTAGTTTGTAATGAAGTATTAAAATAATAGTTTGTGTTAAAGACAACAACTCTAACAACCAATAACGAGTAAGAAAAAAGTCACGCCAGCGAACAAAAGCCAACAAAGAATAAGCACGCCAACGAATAATAACTCTAAATAAGAGTTGTTTTGTAGATAGAATTTGAGTTAACTTGTAATAATTATCCCTTAAGTATTGTAACTTAGTTAGGTTTTTGTTATTTATTTCTATATCTCACATTATAAATATACAAATAGTCAATACAATAAAACTCAAGTACGTGAGGAGATTTAAAATAGAATTCTCATAATGTTTGATTCTCTTTTTTTTTCTTTTCTTTTTAAAGTGTAAATAAATTAGATCTAGATTTTAGATCAATATTTAATTTGTGTATTAAATTCCTACTTTGTTAAAAAAATTTATCCTTAAAATTCAGTTTTGATGTCCATTTACTAGGTTGTGATGGATGTTTCTTATTTGTTCAAAAAGATTGATCCTTATGGGCAATTTTAGATGGTTGAGATTTTTCGTCAATAGAGCTAGCTAGTAGTGCAACATGTTCTCTTATTGATTTATATTGATGCTAAGATCAATTGTGTACTTGATGTGTAAAAAAGAAAAAGAAAAA